GCATTGGGCCTTCGTCCCTTTGCACCAATCGGGGGGGGGATAGCGTCCACTTGAGCGGTAGAGACGATTGACCGTGAAAGGGTCTCTTTTAGCATATGACCTAGGACAGGGAGTCTCTATCAGTTGGTGTTCTGTTGTAATATTATTACACAGCTATTGGTATTTGGTAAAATACGTGAGGTATCGTTCATCAGCAATATATGGCACGCTTACATTTCTTGATTGTTTGTGTTGGATTTTATGGAGTTTCATCCTCTTTTGTAGCATAGACAAGAACTCTTATCACTATCTGAAAGAAGTGACTTATTGACAAAAAGGTATGAAAGATGTAACAGACCCTTACAGAACATCCAACATTTATGGCTTAAATCAAAAGTAACGAACTCGACTTAACTAAGTAAATGTAAAGTAGCCTAATGGCTATACATATAGGGAAAGGCACAAGTTGCCTCAGACCTAAAGTCGGCGCAACAAACCTAACGGCGAGACTAACGTAAAGCCGCAGAACATTGCTCTCAAGAAAATCAATTATCAAACGACGTCTTCAGCAGGCGATACACGCTCCAATTCTGCCTTTTAAGACCTTCCCTTAATCACTATCTCATTTCTACCCCATTTGAATACACGCGAACTAGAAATTTGCATTGTGGCAGGAAAGTGGAAGCGAGAAAGACAAAGCATAAAATAACTGGTTGGTAAAACTATATCCTTATAAACTCTGAGAGTATCTACAAGCTTCTTAAAATTACTATTCAGTTATTATTATTGTTTCACAAACCGAGGCAAAGCACATCTGTTTCAAAGACTTCTAAGGCCCATATCACACGGGCATTTGTTTCACCCGAACAACTGTTTCGGACAATCTTTCTGCCTAGTTTACTATTGAAAGAAAGACGCGCGATTTTTTCTTCCTTTTGAAAAAAATTGCAAGTTGTTTGTTTTCAACCAATTAGCTTGTTTGTAATGGAGAAGCAGCTTCCCCTGTGTTAACCCCAAAGCGATCTGTAGTGATTGGCTGTTGTGACAAAGGAGAAAAATTGTTTCAAACAGTTGTTCTTTCAAAACAACCTGATGTGTGACAGCAGCCTAAGAGACATTGGATGATATTCACATTGCATATGAGAAAAGGACAAAAGTTTCATGCACTCAATCCGTTCACCAGAAATCGAACTAATGCCATCCTAACTCATCTATTTGGCCACTGGTGTTCCATCTCATCATTATTTAGAGTGTTATTTGAACAGCCATCCAGACGGTATAGTGGGCAGTAATGCTGTATGTCATACTGATGGGCTCGAATTTCAGAGAAGGCATGGATAATGTGTAGCAATAAGACACTCAAACACGGCGAGTCAAAAGTCCTTACGAATGGATGTGGTAGTGAAAGAGGGTTGGTAGACTCTCAGATCGTCCTCCCTCAAAATTTGTGCGTAAACTTAACAGTCAGCAAGACTCAGCTATACCTAATATACAGGTGACGTCCTTGCTTCAACCTGTACTTGTTATTTAGATTTTTGCTGTTGCCATATATCACAAATAACAGTGAGCACATCAGAGCAATGATTTAACTCTTCAAAACTTTCTCTCGAAAACATAACTGCAGTTCTATTACGGTACTGAAGTTTAAAAATAGATAATTTTGTTTCTCGTAATTGGGCCATCACTATTTTCAAAAGAAAACTGCCCTTTTACAATTTTGTGTCATACATCAAATATCTCTGAATTTAATAACAGACACTAAATGATGTTAGTAGTTTTCTTGCTTTTCAATTGCTTCTGAGCTTTTTGATAACATCTAGTACTTCATAAATTACAAATATCTCTGAATTTAATAACAGACACTAAATGATGTTAGTAGTTTTCTTGCTTTTCAATTGCTTCTGAGCTTTTTGATAACATCTAGTACTTCATAAATTAAGTTTCACTAATTGCATGTCTCCTTGTTGAACTTGGAAAACTTCGGTTTTTGTGATCCTTTTAACAAACTAGGTATTTCAATAAAACAGATGGAGTCCTCCCTAAAAATTTTTTTAACACACCATGTATATATTTTGTTTCTAGATTCATACTTAACAGCTATAACAAGTGGAACACTTGCAAATCCATCTGATTTCAGAGTCAAGTATTCATAGTTAATCAGAATTTGTCAACAGAGGAGGAAAATGAAAAAAGAAATTTTTGTACCATATAAAAATAATTTAGTGCAATTATTTGAAGATTTTATTGTATTTTTACCAGCACATTCATGTTATAAACAAGTATGTAACAATCTCTTGAAGAATACAAACTTATCTCTATTGTTCTAACTATTTGTTCCTTACATTTTATTTCAATTATTATATGACTGCTATAACAATCTCCAAGAAGAGATAATACATAGGAAATGGTAATTCAATAAGGTTTTTTTCAGTTTTGTGTCTTCAGAATGGTTGCATCTAGAAACTACTAAATAACTTTCCTTTCTTGCATTTTTTCTTTTTTTTCATAACAAAGAAGTTTCATGAAAAGTTACAGTAATTATTCAGTTTGAATACTAAGGTACCCAACACATTATTTAAGTTTTGTTGTTCATTGAATATGCTCATATTATGCAGCATCATTAACTTGCACAGCCTAGAAAATTTCGATTAGCTACAGCTCTGATTCACTTTACTACCCCTCCAGAAGGCATTGAAAGGATATTAAAAGACCAGGGAGTTAAAGGTAGATTACTTCCAATTAGGGGTGCCCTGTAGATATGAGGCACCCTTGTACAAAGTTTATTTCAGCATTCCCACAAGACACAGTAATTTGCAAATTAAAATTAAATTAGTTAAGAATAAGATTTAAATTTCTATTTATATAGCACACACTGAATATAAGATATATAAATAAATCACCTAAAGAAAAAAAATTTTGTGTATGCTAATTTCGTACAGCAAAATAATGAAACACTGGCATTCTATAGAATACCTAGGCATTTTTAGACAAAGTCTGAAATATGAGAATTATTATACACTTTACCTAGGTATTGTATATAATACATAGGAATTCTGTGGAATAACAAATGCTCTTCAGGCAAAGTATGAAAAAAGGCCAATAAGCTCTATTATTTAAAAAATGTTCAATCAGACATTACTAAAAAAATAATAATAAATAAGTAAATTAAAAAAAAAAAAGAATTCTGAAAGGTTTCAGATTTTAAATTATGTCCAAAGAGGCCTTTTTTTAAGGTTTTATGATATTTCATTTACATGATTGTCATCATTTACATGATTGTCATTAATAACATTTTTGTTTTCCTAGTTTTAGCTACAACAAAATTCTTAATCAGGATTTTTTATACCTGAAATCATTTTGTATTCATATCCTTGACAAAGCAGCAAGATGCTCTTCTGATATAGTTGATCTGAAACAATTTGCTATTTTGTATATGTAGTTTAGAACACCATGAACAGAATCTTCTTTTACAAAAAAATTGCAACCCCTTTAATTCTTCAAATATAAAGTCATACTATTAATACCATGATGTTAGAATTTTTATTATCAATCAGTTTTGGCATTAAATCTTGTTTTAATAAATTATCAGCCTATTCTTTTAATTTGTTTATGCTATGTATAAGTTTAAAATCTTTGCTGTGTTGTATCAAATATATAAATTGTTCCGTATTGGTAATGTCAAAAATCAAGGGAGGAAAATGGGTTTTAAGTTTCCTTTAGAATTATTTTTAGAGTCATCTGATGCTTACTTTTTAAATGTTGAACAATGATTTGAATACCCTGTACTACACGTACTAGCATACATGGATTATAACAGAATACCATTTTGATATCTGCATGGAACTAACAGAACTGATAAAAATTAAATAATTATACGATAAAAAATCTTAACTTTTCTTTTTTGCAATAATATTGTTAAACTGCTTCAAACACTTTTTCTAATAAATTTGCTTAAAAAAAGCCAACCTTTTTCAATGATTCTGTATATTAAATGTTTCTATCACAACTTGCTGCTGTTTTGAAAGAAAATCTCCAGAACCTACATAATAATTAGTACTTTTTGGTTGAGGGTTGCCAGTCAAAAATGTGCAGCCAAGTGCACGATATAGTAATCAGTTTATTTCATAATTGGAGTAGCTATGCAGTGATACCATTACAAAGAAAGTATGAACACAAATCCAAAAAATTTCAATCTGAGATTTCTAGTTGCTTTACTAACTGACTCCCCCCCTTCAAGGAAAGAACCAATATAGAATACATGATTTGATAGTGCAAAATGGTGAAATAAACATTAGTGAAGCACTCCTGCTATTAGTAGATCTCTACTAAATTAAATTCTTGTAGTGTTGATAGCATGAGAAGCATTTATGACAATATTATAATAATCTGTGCCATGTGAAATTAATTTAGTAAAATCAGTTTTGTGTTTTTTCATATTTACTTTGAATTCAATTAAACAGTTATTCATTTCATGAACCTGTACATGTTGTTGAGGTTGCCATTTCTATTACCAGAGCTGAATAAAACTTAGCTGAATAAGATATGCTTATGGCATTACAAAAAGGTACTCAGGAATGGACTCAAAGAAAGAGACCACCACAAAACTGCTGATACATACACTGCTGATTTTACCATGGAATAAATGGTGTTTCTGTAATGGTTATGCCACAACCAAGAGAGAATGAATGGGAAAAAACAGGTATAAATATATGTAGGCACACCTAAATCTTTTAAATGCTAAAGGACTCTAAAAGTCTTAATCCCTGACTATCACTAATTAGATTTTGTTCTAAGCCTCATTAATTGAAAATTACCTACAATGAAAATTATTTAAAACACAATATTCTAAATTTTTAAAACATTTTAATTCACAAATCCTAATTCTGAAATCTAATAAATTTACTATGAGCATTTTGATATTTTTAAGGATATTTCAGAAGCATATTACTGTAATATTTTTGAAAAATATAATAATATTCACACAGGAAAAATAACACTTCAAATATAAAATTTTAATTACATTTTAAAAATTTAAATATTTACAATGAGGTGTTATCTACATATTTAAATAACTGCTAAATTAACACTTGAAGAACTCTTCTAGCTCTTTCAAAAACTGTAAAATCAGCTTCACCTGAAATAAAAATATTCAATTTATAAAAATTTAACGTTTTTTATAAAAAATACATACGTTGGGGAAGAGGGGGGAACATGCACTGCATAAATTTGTTTTAACTATTTTCAACTCTTTATGTTCAAGTTTTGTAGAAATATAATATACATTTACTTTAAACATTAAAGCTGAGTTGCTAAATAGTAATAAAATAGCTTTCAGCTAAATAGTAATAAAATGCAAACACAATGAAATTACAAGGGAAGGGGAAAAAATGAAATTAAAAAAAAATATGAAAAAATTAATTTAAAAAAAATAACTCTCTCACTCACACCCAAACAAAAAATTATTTCTTTTTTAAATAATGCATGGTTATTAAATACTTAATTACTTCTTCTATGAAACCTATTTATATTATAAAAATCTTTAATGACATCTTCAAAACCAAATTTCAATAATTAATGTTATTGGGTTATTCACAAAATCTTGATATCAGCTGTTGATATGTCTCACATCAACTTTGAAATACTAATTAAATGGCATAAAAATTTCTGAGTTCATTAAAGACAAAAGTCCAGAAGACAGTGTGCGAAATCATATAAAAATATTGTAATATATCAGCCAAAGTATCTCTTACTTAAGCACAAGTTTGCTCAAATGCTATCACGGAAAAGTAATTATTCTAGTTTAAAAGTTATGCATGATTATAATTTAAAAGTTATGCAAAATAATTGATTCAGATCAATTTTAGTTAACAAATGAATTTCGATATACAAGGTTCTTAAAATGTTTGTAGTATTATAAAGTCAAGCTCTAAATGAGAGGTTCCTCAAAAATCAAGGTGAGAATTCTTTGATCTCAGATTAGTAGACAAAAACTATTACAAAAAGCTCGAAGCAAGAACAGATAAGATGTAGTTAAAATCACGACTTCGAAATGCTGAAAAATAGAAAATAGGTTCTTTCCGATAATCTGCACATCTTGAAAAGTATTCATAAGGACACAAGGTTTCTAAAATATGCAAAATCTGATGTCTCCCAAATGTATTTATGTGGCAACTCAGGTATGTGCATGCCTGTGCATGTGCATAGCTGGATTGCCACAAAAGGTGGAAATATTCAAATTTGAGTTGCTTTTCTCATAAATATTTTTTTTTTTTTTTGTTTCCATCTGAGTACATTTTTTTTGGGTCACCCAGATGGTATAGTGGTTAGGGGAGCCTACTGTGATACTAGTGTGGCCCGGGTTCAAATCCTGGAAAATCCATGGACATTCGTAAATGTATAGTTTCTCTGCAGCATGGGGGCACTCTAAATATGCAGCAAGCCAAAAGTTCTCCCAAACGGTTGGTGGTAGGGAAAGAGGGGTGGAAGATGCTCAGACCCATCCCTCTGGGTTGCTCTCCTTCAAAATTAGGGTTGGAAATGAGTGAAGTTGTATTGCCACATGTATGGTGCTGAAGGCTTTGCAAAACGACAGATGCAATCTACCTCTCCTAGCCATGATGAATTCCGTGGACTTGTTTTGATGTCAATGTCAGGGAAGTAAGAAAAGTCACAGCCACACTTTTTTTGTTCAAAAATACAGAATATAAAAATTTGCATTTCATAAAGAAGTACTTCGTAATGATTGGAATTTGCATGAGATGTCAAATTTCTGCAATTCTCTGATTTATTTTTTTTAAAAGATAAAACAGAAAAGAAAAAAGAAAAAGAAAAAAAAAAAAAAGAGTTCTTACGGATGTCTTTCTCATTTTTAACTTCGTTAATTATTTGTTGTTTTATGTAGTTCTTAGTGAGCTGCTATTTTTGAAAACGGTTGTTGCATTTACTGCCTTAACTTAGAAATTGGTTGCCAAAGGTTCGCCACTTTTTGGGAGGGGAATATGGTTAATCATAAAGTACAAGAAAATACTAATTTTAGGCATCATGTAATTGAAGCAAGATGAACAGAAACACTTCCTTATTTACAAATTAATAAATATGTGAAGTAACAACTATATGGGAGATGAGGTAAGGTGACAGAGAAATGCAGTGGTGCTATGCTGAACAATTAAGATTTTTTAGAACACCAAAAATTATATTTTGCAAACATATTTTATAATTCCATGATCTTTTGTTTTTACATGAGCACCCACAGCACTAAATACTTCAAGACTAGCCCTATGAATAACCTTAAATGATATGTATGTTTTATCATTTGAAATGCACTATGTAATTAATTATAATGAAAATGGCAATGAATTTTAATACAATTCAAATACAAAATTTAATACAAATTCTGCCCAGTGGCAGAATTTTCTGTGAAAGACAGTATTATTCACTTATAAAACATTACAGTATATATAATTATTCACTTATAACAGTATTATTCACTTATAAACATTACAGTATATATTCACTTATAAAACATTATTATAGACAGTATTATTCACTTATAAACAATTAATTCTAGAATTTTCTGGAATATAGAGGTGCTACAACATTGAAATGTGGGCTCTCAGATGAAATTTACCACTTATGTTCATTGCGTAGCTGCCAACTTTAAAATACAAAAAACTGAGAGTTCTGGGAAAATTTCAGGCTGCATTATGGCATCATTTAAAAAATAACCCAAGCTGATTTAAATTTGCTTTCTAATGCATAATTCAGGTTTTTCAACAACATTTGAACCCTACTACATTGAACTTATAAGGGATCAAAAATTTGGTTCACTACATCTGATCTGATTAAAAAAAAAAAAAAAAAAAAAATGGACAACCTCACAAAATAGTGTGAGTGCCACATCTCTTAAAAAGCTGTTAATAACTATTTTTGAAGTGTATTTAAAGTTAATTACAATTATTAGGTACCTTTAGATTATCTGCCTAACCCTGAAAGAATTCATCAGGCAATGCACTGTCACCAAGAGAGGGAACTCAAAACATTATTGTTACGAATTTGGTATTTAAAAAAGCTAATGTTAGTTCAATTATAAATTAAATGGTTTTATTTCTCGCGCAGTGCAGATGTCCAGGCCCGGTTTAAGGGGATGCACCGTTCTGCACGAAAGCGAGTCAACTTGGCGACGGAGAAAGTGAAGCCCAGATACGACACGCGAGCTACTAGACATAGATCCAACAAAGGAGACAAGGTGTGGTTGTGGAATCCGACTCGACGGAAAGGACTTTGTCCAAAATTACAGTCACCTTGGGATGGTCCGTACACAGTCCTAAACAGGCTGAATGACGTCGTGGTTCGGATCCGTAAGTCTACGAACTCTAAACCTAAAGTCGTTCATCACGACAGGTTAGATCGTTACTATGGCCATAGTACATAATGTAAATAATTGTAAATAATATAAGACCATGGTCCATTTTGTTTTTAAATGTGTATTTGATTTGATTTGTATTTAGTATTTGATTTGCATTTTGTATTTGATTTGTATTTGATAGTATTTGATTTGTTTTATTTATTGCATTTATTGTTCATGTTGTTTATTATTGTAATGTAATGCTTATTAATGCATTTACGCCACAATTGTAAGTTTGGCTTCCTGTCCAGGGATTGTACTGCCCGGGACGTGCAGTCCTTGGGAAGGGGGCAGTGTTACAAATTTGGTATTTAAAAAAGCTAATGTTAATTCAATTATAAATTAAATGGTTTTATTTCTCGCGCAGTGCAGCGCGTGACGAATATTAAAAGAAAGCTAACCCGGAAAATTGAAAATACAAGAGCGTGTGCATTAAATAAATAAATATCTCTTTTTGATTTCGAGAAAGTACTGGAAAATTCTAGCGCGTGATTTTAAAATCTTATAAAAGGAGGAAAACATCTCAGTTTGTAGTAGTTGCTTAGTTTGTTGTTGTTTAGAAAACTGCTCTTGTTGATTGTAGCGAATTCGCGGATTAGCATTCTTTAGCTGTTTGAATTACGTTATATTGGACATTTGAGTAGTTAAAAGATAACTACTGTGAGATATTGTAATACTGCATGATAATTTGAGAAAATTTAAGCATTTTTGTTGTGATAATAATAAATTTTTGTTCATTTTTCATCGGACTTGTGCATTCATTTCATAACGAACCCGTACGCACGCAACATTATGAAAAGGTTATGGGATTAAATATTTTGATTCAAAATGCAGTAATCAAGGTATGCACATGTATGTAGCATATAGGCGTAGATTTCAGCTTTTCAAATATGAATGTCATTTTTCTGGTTAGTGCTGTTTCGATTCGTGTTTGACAAGTTTAAACAACTATTTTCATTGTAAGGAATCATAATGGGACTGTGGAGTTTGCTAGCTGCTGACAAACAAAGCACTGCATTGCTTTTGAAATATGCCATGCTGACACAACTGAATTTGTGCACTGATACTGCAATATGTGAAATGCCCTTTTTCAAAGAAATTTTTCTAATGTGAAAGCAGATCAATATTATATGTTCTTGGAAAAACAACAGCCTGTCTAAAATCATTTGTGCTATTCTTTTCTTTTCTTTTTTTAATGAAAAACAGATCTTAGTGTAGATGGGAAAATGACAGTGTGCACCGTGGGAAAATGACCATGTTGTGTATGATGTCAAGTTTCTACAAATCTCTAACTTCTTTTAAGGTGAAACATATTGCTGTGTACACTGGGATAACAGAAAGAAAAAAAGGTAACTGTTTCGTTATGGACATTTCTTGCATTTTCAACTCTGTTAATTGTTTGTTGTTTTAAGTAATTCATAGTGTGCAGTTTTTGAAAATGGCTGTTGTCTTTTGCATCTTAGTTTGGCTAAAATTTAGACTAATCATTGGTGACTTTTTGAAGGGTTAAGTGGCTAATAAGAAAATATCAATTATTATTATGTGCAGTTACTAAATTTCTTTTCTTTTTTTTTAATCCCAGTTTTACCATGCATTATTAAATTTACACAAAAAATTACTTAGCTTAAAAGTCCTGCTTTAAACCTGTTTTATCAATTATATATTTCCATTTAAAATACGTATTTTCAATTCTGAATAACCATCAGCCCTGAACATAGTGATATCGCAGA